TTTTTTAACCTGCAAACCATATGTTGTTTTCCTCTTACTTCAAATCCCTATGGCTGAACCATGTAGATTTCATCCTCCAAATCACCATGGAGAAAGACAATTTTCACATCTAACTCCTCAAGCTCAAGACCCAAACTGGCTACTAAATCCAAAACCACTCGAATTGAAGTCATTCTAACAACACGAGAGAATATCTCGTCGAAGTCAATCCGTTTCTTTTGACCGAAGCCCTTCACCACCAATCGAGCTTTATACTTCACTAGCTTTGCACCATCTTTCTTCAACTTGAAAACTTATTTATTTTTCAATGTCTTTTTACCTTTAGGAAGCTCTGTTAGCTTATAAGTGTTATTCTTCTACAAAGAATTCATCTCTTCCTACATAGCCTTCGCCCAGCTCTGTTTGTCCTTATGAGATTGTACCTGTCGAAAGCATTCTGGTTCCCCCTTATCAGTTACCAACACATAATCTGATACGGGATACCTAGTTGATGGATGATGCTCCCTGGTAAATCTTTTAACCTGAGGTTCCAATATAATAGGTTGCTCCCCTGCTCAACATCCTCTAGATCATCTTCATCAACCCTTGTTGGCTCATCAGTATGACTATCAACGTGAGTCTCTACTCCCTGAGTTGCATTGTTTGGATGTAAAGAGACAAGTGTAAGGTCAGTGACACCCTCAGCAACACGTCCTTGATTCTTAGATTTCTCGAAATCTGATAACTTCTGATTTTCATGAAAAATCACAAATATGCTTTTGATTATTTTCTTCTTTTCCTAATCCCATAGTCTATAGCCAAATTTTGCATCTCCGTAGCCAACAAAAATGCAAGCACTAGCTTTGTCATCTAGTTCAACCGTTGTTCGTTAGGTACATGTGCAAATGCTTTGCACCAAAAAACCTTCAAATGAGAATCAGAAACATCCTTCCCTGTCCACACCTTTTCTGGAATCTCAAAATTCAAAGGAACTGATGGAGACCGATTGATTAGGTAGCACGCCGTTTGAACTGCTTCACCCCAGAATGATTTAGGTAACCCAGCCATCCTTAACCTACTTCTAACCTTTTCCACAATGGTGCAGTTCATTCTCTCTGCCATGTCGTCGTGTTGTGGGGTACCAGGAACTATCTCCTCATGTCTAATACCATGCTCTGAGCAGTAATCTTCAATCACTTTAGACGTTTATTCTCCTCCGTTGTCAATTCGGAGACACTTCAAATCCTTACCGCTTTCTTGTTCCTCCATGGCATGAATCTTCTTGAGGTGCTAAAAAACCTGGTCTTTTAATCTCAAATAAAACACCCACAATTTTTGTGAAGCAACATTAATAAAAGTAAGAAAATACCTATTGCCACCTAAGAATTCCACCTCATTGGAACCACAAACATTATAATAAACCAAATCTAAAATATTAGACTTTCTACCAGAGGACTTCAGAAATTAAACTCTATGTTGTTTACCAAGTAAACAATAATCACATGAATTTAATAATGTAGCTTTGGTAAAAGGAATGAAGGACTTCCTTACCAAAATCTGCAATCCTTTTCTGCTCATGTGAGTCAGCTGTTTGTGCCACAAGTCTTGTGAAGAATCACTTTCAGTTGCATTCACCGCTTCACTATAAACCTGTACTTGTGTGTGAAAAAAAAATTTCATCTAGCAAATACTATCGACCATTTTATTTGTTTCCATCTTCCACTGCCAAAATAACTATCATACCCCGCTTCATCAAAGGCATTTATAGATAGCAAAATTCAGGCTTATGTCTGGAATATGTGGCACATTCTTCAATGTCAAGCTGCATCCAATATCTATCCGAAGACAAATATTACCAATTTCCACAATGCTGGCAAAACTATCATTACCCATCTTCACCCTACCAAAGTTACTAGATTTGTATGAAGTGAAGAACTCCCGTCTTGGTGTAACATGGTAAGAAGCCGTTGAGTCAATAACCCATTCAACAAACAAATTTGTAACAGACAAAACGGCTCTTATTCAACAAAAAAACTGATTCTACTATTTCCTCGTCTGAAGCGCTAGCTGTTGTATTCTGATCAGTTTTCTTCTGATATTTCTCCTCTTTATCTTTCAGTTTGTTTTTCTAAGCTATGTAATGTTTCTTTATATGACCCTCTTTATCACAGTAAAAACATTTGACATTTCCTCTTACCTTTGATTGACTTTTGAAGTTACCACGTCCCTTAGGATATTTGCTCTTACTCCTTCTTCTGTTCTCATTAATAAGGCATATGCATTATTCCTACCAAAGTCTTTCCTTCTTATTCCTTCATTAAACAAACTATCTTTAACTAGAGTAAGTCCAAGCACACCACTCGGAGCAGAGTTACTAGTGATACCACCAAAGTCTCCCAAATATCAGGCAATGAACTCAAAAGTAATAATTCTTGTATCTCATCATCTAGCACTATTTTCATTGTGGTCAACTGATTTACTAAGTCTTGGAGT